AAGATATGTACTCTGACTGGGATTAAAGTTTGAAAGTTTAGTTCTATAGTAATCTGTCTATAGTCTCTAGGTTATCTTCATACCATCTGTATAATAACGGTTCCAAAGGGAAACTGTGATTGTGAAAAGAGCTACCTGTGCACAAATAAAAGACTTCTTTTAAACCTAGAATGAAGCCAAGCAGTTGCCTCTGAATTCCAGTCTGTCAAGACGAGTGTTTAGGGGCACTGGAACAGGGACAGTTGTTTACCTGACTGAGCTCTCACTTTAGTGAGGGTCCAAGGCCTGCAGTGTTATTCATGGAATGACTTCTAGGTTTCAGAAACTGTCCAGCTTTCAGTTTAAAATAGACTTCATGTGGACCACTTCAGAAGCTGTCTTTGAGCTTTAGCTGGTTTCAAGTTCCACAACATCACACTTCTAACCCTTAGACTTCCCCAAAAAACTCAGTATTCAAGATTCCATCATGTATCCTCCCCACTGAACATGTATGCAAATATTCAATGAATTTTTAGATAATTTTTATCACATTATCAGATGCCATAGCCAAAACAAAGCTCAGTTTCTGTGCCTATAGCAGAAAACAATATTTGGCTATTATTTAGAAGGTCCTATTTGGAAGATAATAAACATAACTTGCAAATTATGCAAAAATAAAAGTTCCATTCCATGCTTCATCTACAACTCCCTACTAATCAAACAATTCTATTACAGAAAATATTTTTACAACTATAATAAGGATGGCATAATTAAGAGAAAATAAATCATATCTGTAAACATTAAAAGGTCAACAGAAGAGAAATTCAAGGGACTATAATTAGGAACAATAAAATGTAAGCATTTTCATAGTCTTGTTATCCAAGGAATTAAATCAGAATCACTAACTATGTGGCTCACCCCTTTCCCCACATATTATCTGTTATTGAACATGGAAAAAGGAAAGGGAAAAATTAATAGAATTGGTCAAAATCAAGCAAGAAGTAAAAATAAGGGCCTCAATCCTTTGTCACTCTAACTAAGAGACTATTGTGACACTTTGATATCAGTGTTACAATTGGTAGTCATCTGACAGTTCTTCAATACCATAACTTGATGAAACCTCAATCCAAAAGTAGCAATCACTTAAACATACATACACACACATACACACACATGCACACAAATATACACACTTTTTATTTCCCAACCTCTCATCTTATGAATGGCCAATGAAGAAATGGCATACCTCCTCACTGGTTCCACTTTCCCTACCATCCTAAGAATTCTGCTAACACTTTTTGTGTTAGTTAGCTTCCTGTTACTGCAATAAAATACCTGATGTAACCAATGTATAAAAAGAAAGGTTTATTTTAGCTTAAAGTTTTGGAGGCTTTCAGGACTGATTGGCCTCACTGCTTTCAGCCTGTAATGGCATAGTACATCATGATGGGAGAATATGGCACCTTATGGCAACTGGGAGAATATGGTACCTTATGGCAACTGAAGCAAAGAGAACAGGAGAAAAAAGCTTTATCCGATATCACTTTTAAGGATAAGCCTCCAAAGACCAAACTTCCTCCCACTATTCCCAGCCACTTAAAGGTTCTGCCACCTCCCAATAGTGTAATGAACTGGGGACCACACTTTTAACACATGGTTCTTCAGGGAAATTTAAGATCTAAACTCTAGCACTTTTATCCTGAAAAATCAGACTCATCAATTAAAACACAATTATTTTCTTCTGATTCTTATAAATGGCATTACAGTTAATTTTTTAATGACCTTGCATGGTTTTAATGTTTAGGACTTTCTTTGACTCATGGAACCACAATATCATCCAATTTTTAGAAATTATAAAGCTCGTGGAAGCATATACCCATGCCACATGTAATATTATGTAGGCAGAGATTGGGGTAGCATCCCCTACTTGTTAGCTTACTTACAATTTGTAAATATTTTATTTTGCAAGTTGGGTCTAGGGCTATGAAACCAAAGTTTCAATATATCGTAGTTTCTCAATATATTGTTGCAGGTCATTATTTGTACATGTCCTGTATCAAAGATAGTGGATACTTCTGGTTGAATTAATAACCTTAATTAACCATTACAAAATTAAGTGGTATTATTTCTCAACAGTTGAAACTTTTCATCTCTGAATTTAGAAAATTATTTTATAACACAGAATCCCTAAATTTGAAAATGATCAACATGTTAATAAAAATCTAAGCAATGAAGAATAGAACATGAACCACGTGGTCCCTTTAGAAATTAAACAAGCCTTATTAAAGGTGCCAGATGCTTTCTGAAAGCATCTCAGAAGTTTCTGCAACATTAATTAAATATCTCATATACAGCAAAGTTTGGAAATGTGTGTTAATAAGATAATCAATAATTGCAGGTTTAACTCTATGTCAGTTCCAATTTTAAAAGAAATAACATGTTTTTCAATGAGCCCCATTTTCAAAGCAGAAAAGTGCTATTTTTAATCATCAAAGATACACTAAAGCCATTATTTGTCAAGTGAAATATCACAGCACTTGAAGAGTTTGTCCTGATTATTCCATAAGGATACTCTTAAGTCAGAATTCATTTAAGTCCTAAGCTAGTTATCTGCTGCCCTTGAATGCTTTTGGACACTATTCAATGAGGGCCAGGAAACTGCATCAGAGCATATCAGCAATGACTTTCATTCACTACAATGCCCTTTGAAAAGATGTTCAGAAGCAAGTATCAGGAGAGAGAAATGGCATACCCAATTCCTGACTTACAGAGTACTACATAATTATGTGAACCCCTGAGCAGTCTCACTCAAAAAAAGAATATCCAATCAAAGCATCAAATTCTATCAGGCACAGCTTTTCTAAAGACTCTTCTTTAACTTAGCAGCATATGAACCTTGTCATATTACTCTCAACATGACTCTGTACATTAACAGAAAAATATTATTCTGTTAATACAATACACAAATACAATCTAAGGAAACTCAACTTTTGAAACACCATCAAGAAACACTGACTACAAATAATAAATATTTATACAAATGTATATGTGACATTCATAGTCATTCAAGCTTATTTTTCTCAAGGCTTAAAAAGTATTATGTGTTTGTAGCCAAAGGAAAGCATACTTGGCTAGGAATCTGGAGACAGGGTTTGAGTTTCAACTTTTTGCACTGATATCTCCTATTTCTAGGGTCAGTCACTTCATTTTTCTTAGCGTTTCCTTATCTCTAAAATGAGTAGGGCAGATTCCACAACTGTTGAAGTTGTAGCTCCATGATTTGCCACCCACAGCCCTTCTAGAATTTGTTTTATAAGTTACCCACACGCATGCCTTTGCTGTATAAGGCACTATAGAAATACGGCCTTTTGGTTTTGACTAGGTTTTATACACTACTCCTAGACTTTTTTATTGTATTATCCACAAATATAATTATTGCTCATAGTCACCAAGGTATTGATAATTACTGCAACAGCTAGTACTTACATAAGTGCTTATTACATGACTATACTGTACTAAGCACTTTACACATATGAACTCTTCTCATCACAAACCTATGGGAAAGAAACTATTATTATTCCCATTTTTGCAACTGAGGGGACTGAGGTACAGGTGGGTTATGTAACTTGCCCAGGGTCAAAAAGTTTACAAGTGGATGAGTTGGGATTCAAACCCCAAACCCGCTCCTAGAAGCCCATCAGTTTAACTCCAGCCTTGCACTTGGCTAGAGGGTCCATAGGAGGTGAAGTGCAGCAGAGTTCATCCACAAAATATTGGCAGAGTCCCCAAAACTGCATTCATACTATGAATTCTCCCAGGAATAATCAATGGTTTGTGATTTACAAACCCAGCATACATACTTGCAATTCTTATTTCTTTCTTCCCTGCTTCAGTTTTGCAAGTAAATAACAAGGATGGAAAAGAGATTAAACTAAATCTACCTTCTTTCTCTCAGTTATTTGGGGAAATGTACAAATAACAGGAACTGTGGGACTACTGGTAACTTCCACATCCCACTGCTGAGTAGGCAGAGCTCCGTTATAACAAGCTCCCAGTCATGGTCCAGGGACGTTGCATGTTAAGTCCTGTCCCCCAAAAACGAACAGCTGAAAACAGTGACCAGGCAGACATAGAAACACCAGTTCTGCAGCCTCAAATCTCTAAGACTGAGGTTGTCTAAGAGCCTGGGACCATGAAGTAACAAAAAAAACTACCTCTGCAGCAAAATATATTACAGTGTGCAATTAAACTGGTCAGTGGTATACAAAATTAGGGCAGAGAGAAAATACTGGTAATCAAAAAAAAAGCCCTATTTAGCTATTCAGCACATTGTTTTTGCATATGTATACTCATATATTTCCCCAATTATTAACCAACTCCAATCTTGCACTTGGCTGAGATTCAAGAGATCTTCCCTATGGGAACCAGAGAAGACAGGTCTGAGTTCTGGAACCCAGGCAGCCGCCCCTAGGCTGCCCACGAGGCGGGGCAAGTCCTCGTTTGGCAAGGACAAAAGGAAATTACTTCAGCGAAGAGGAGACGGTGAGCTCCTCCGGTAGGACAAAGCCACACTTTGGCTCACCACATCTCGCCCGAGTTTCACGTCCAAGGCCACGGACTTCTATCGCCTGCTCTTCAAACCCAGCACTGACAGACAAGGGGATGAGAGCGGTACTGAGAAACGATGGGAAGAGAAGGTGTTTTGTTTTCCCAAAGGAGAAAACAACCCCACATTTTAATCAAAACAACCTTTGGAGAAGCCAGCGAAGACTTCTTCGCCCGGCCTGTCTCAGGACTTTTGAATCACTTCCTCCTTTTCTGATGTGTCTGAGTTTGAGATTACAAAGTTGCTGAGAAAGTCTTGCCTCTCCGGCAGCTTCCTGCGAGTGAGAGCGGGCGCTGACCCTGCCCGGCGCCGCCACCTCGGGCGGGAACCGGAGGGCGCCGCGGCGCGAGGAGGGACTGGGATGGGTTCCGCGGGGACAGAGCGCGAGCGCTGCCCAGCCGCCTCTCCTGCTTACCCCAGGGTGCTGATGAAGCCGTTGACAGAGCCCTCCGCGTACAGGGACACGATGTCCCCTATGTAGAGGAAGCTGGACATTTTATCAGACATGCTGCTTCATGTTCCAAAGTGAACCTCCCTCCTCTTCCCTGCGCCCTCGCGGCTCTCTCCAAAGGAGCTGCAGCGGCAGAGGCAGAATGGAGCGCAGGACCGCTGCAGCGGCGCAGGGCACAGTCCCGGCGACCGAGAGTAGGGGTTCAGCCTGCTTCCGCACCGCAGGATCCGGGCAGGAGCGAAGGCGCCCTGTGGACACCCCACGACGTGCGCAGCCCCGACGCCCCGAGAAGCTGCAGCAGACGCCTCCTCGGCAGGTTTCCTGTTCCTTCAGAAGTTTTCTCTCCAACACCTTTGCTCCTCCTCCTCCCTCCTCCGCTCCCTTCTTCTAGTCCCCTCCCCGCTCGGCGTCCCGCCGCAGCCGTCACCGTCACCGCAGCCCCGCGGGAGCTGGAGGTTGCAGAGCCCCTCGGTCCCCTCAGGGGAATTTTTGGACCAGGTGCTGGTGCCCATCCGATCAGGCGGAGGAGAGGATCCCAGGGGAGGCGGGGGCATCCAATCAGGCAACGGCGACCGGGGGCGGAGCTGGACAGGGGCGGGGCGACTCTGAGGAGGCCGGGCCACCGGGGAAGCCAAAGAGGTGGACGCAGCGGCGGACGCGGGGAGGAGCAATGGGCGGTGCTGGAAGAGCTGCAGGGGGCCGGAGCCTCCGGGGGGGACGCTGCCTATTCCAACTGGAGAGGAAGGACCTGGGGCGCTACAGTCCCTGCCTGGGAAAGCGAATGAGCCTGAAAGGGACTAAAAGGGTGCGAATTGGTGAAGGGGAGAGTGCATGCATGACCCATGCTCAGTAGAGTGAACCAGCGAGACTCCTGAACATGAAAACGTGGAGTAGGGGTGTGGATGGGGTGGATGGGATTGAGTAACTCGCTGATCAAGGGAGAGGAAGAAGTTGAAGTGAAGGAAAACATAAAAATAAAAAAATAAATACATAATAAAGAAAAGGAGGGAGGAGGGAGTAAAAATCTCGCTTGGCATATGTAATTTTGTTGTTTTGTTTTTCTCAAGTATATAGCCTCTGTGAAACTTGACCCAGGAGCAGATGTCTAGGTGAGTGGGAGCTTCCGTGGAGCTTTCGTCACTTGGCCGAGCCTGCAGTTTTTGTAGCCAGCCCCTGACGATGAGGGCACTGTGGACCTGTGCCTACTCTTAACTTCTGTTAAACCTCCAAGGCTGGGCCTCCTGTGCTTCCTTAACTTCAAGCCAAGGCTAACCATGTACCTCCTGGAGCCCATTGTCACTGTCTCATTGACAGCCCTTACTTGTTTATATTTAAAGTTGATGACTTTTGAAGCTCCAGCTGTTGCGAACAAACTGGAGGCAGCACACGTTTGAACTCCTTCTCTGTTGCTTTTGAAGTCTTCACCTTAGAACATCGTTTAAAAGTCTTTCACCCTACCCTTCTAGAAGACCTGAAGGAGGCAAACTCTAGCAGTAATGACAGTCGACACTCAATTTAAAAAAAAAAAAACTGCTACTTAAGTAATCCCACAGAGCAACGTTTGCAGAAAGGCCGAGGAACTCTGGGAATGCAGAGGGATATGTGCCAAATTATGCAACTAGCCAAAATGTACCTTACAGTTCAATGGTGTCACTCATGTCTTACAGCTCAAAGATGGTTTGGGTTGAAATTTATAGTCATACAATAGACTGTAAGAGAAAAATCAGCTTAATATTCAAATGTTTGTATTTAGAAAGCCTTCAGGAAAGAAAAGAATAGACTCTGGATCCAGGAAATGCCAGTACAAAGTCTGTGTGTGTTGAGATAAACTGGACCTAGTCATTGACTTACCATGCAGCTGAGAGATCTCTTTACTTCTGTGTTCTGGAAAAGATAACTTAGCTACTTAGAAATGCCTATTAATGATAGAAGCCCTCTTCTGCCTACACATGTGACATTACTGTTGACATTACTGCAAGAAACTGGCCATAATTATTAAAAAGCTTGAGATGGAACAAGATGATGACTATAGAAATGGAAGTTTCTTTTTTTGGGGGGAGGGGGGTACTAGGGATTGAACTCAGAGCACTCCACCACTGAGCCCCCTCCCCAGCCCTATTTTGTATTTTGTTTGGAGACAGGGTCTCAATGAGTTGCTTGGGGCCTCAATTTTGCTGAGGCTGGCTTTGAACTTGTGACCCTTCTGCCTCAGCCTCCTGAGCCACTGGGATTACAGGTGTGAGCCAAGGTGCCCAGAGGAAATTTCTTTTTATCCAAGTGATCTATGCATTACATTCCATGGTTTTCCATATTGCACAGTCCTGTGCTATACATCTAATGGATGCTCAACAATTACTGGTCAAAGTCATGAATGTTCTTTGTTACCTCAAGGCACAGCGTTACTGTGGACAACACATAATAATGTTTATGTTCATGAATAATGTTTATGTTCATGAACAGATAAAAGTATCAAGTCATGTACCCAAGTTCTAGCTCTTGGTAAGCATGTCTCCTGGGCCCAAAACAGGGTCCTCTAAAACTTAAAGCCCAGCACTGGTGTCCTGTTGCCTGGCCTAAGAATACATTCATTTTAATGTACCTTTCAACACTTCTCACTTTGCTTTCTGCTTATTTTTGTACATATTGAATCTTACCAAACTAAAAGTATTCTAAGAATGAAATCAGTGTCTAATTCATGTTTTATCCCTTGTGGGACCTGGAAGTGCCCATTGAAAGTTTCAATAAATATTGGATAGGTAAATTAAATAATAACTAATGTAGAATGTTTTAATGTTAAAATATTTATATTACCTCTGATAATGACAGTAGTAGATGTTGTGAATATTAGTTTAACCAAATAGAGTCTCCTGGGATGAGAGCAGGTGTCATTTCAGCAAACGCTCTGGTCATCATGCCCTATATGAAGAGACAATAAATAGAGCAGAGTGTAATATTTAAAATGTTTATCCCCAGAGGATTTACTCTATTAAAAGGTTTCCAGTAAAAAAAGTTCTTCCATCAGAGATGTTTTCAGGGTAATTTATAATCAGTGTTTACTTGAATGTTCTTAGATCAATACTAGAAGTGAAAGGGTTTGCAAGCTATTATCTGTCAAATGAGTGTTTCATGAATTGCTTTCCTCTCTTCCCTTCCTTGTAATGAATATAATTTTTTAAATGTAGTGGTTTATTGAGCGGTCTCCTTCATGAAATACAAATAAAATACAATTTTTTAAGTCATCCCATTTCAAAAACACTCTATTAAATCTACATGTTCTGCTTCTTAATAATATTTCAAGGAAAGCCCTTGGATATAAAATATTTTCAATTATTAAAAATACACATTCATCTAGGCGTGGTGGCGTACATCAGGAATCCCAGCTACTCAGGAGGCGGAGGTAGGAGGACAGCAAGTTCGAGGTCTGCCTCAGCAACTTAGTGAGACCCTCAGTAGTTTAGCATGACACTGTTTCTAAATAAAAAGGTCTGGGGCTGAAGCTCAGTGGTAGAAAACCCCTGGGTTCAGTACTCCAGTACTGCCAATAAATAAATAAATGAAAATATATGCTTTGCACATGTGCACATTCACATACTCGTATATACACACATACAAACACGCACTCACACATGTGCGAACATCCCAGTACAGTTTCAAACATTGGTCTCATCTCCTCCAGCCCTCTTCAGATCAATGAGTAAGTCACAGGAAAGGAGGTGTCTGCCTTTTATCACTATACATAGGTCTTCATGA